TAATGGAATTATACGGGGAGGAGTCTACAACTAATGATGATTATACGGGGTAAAAAGAGATATATAGTATACAAAATATAAGATGAAGTATTGAACACGGATATACTGACAGTATTATTTTCGAAAGTCTCATGATTTAAAAAAATGTAACCTAGGCTGAAGATATTATCTTTCCCAGAATATCTAGATATGTTTCGTTAACTGGAAAGAAGAGGAAAATAATGAACAATGTGGTCTACTTATTATAAGCGCGCATCCAAATTGACATTTGGTATAATAATAATAATAATAATAATAATATGTTTATTTCGACAGAATCAGGATACAATGGAAGAAATAATGATAGCAAGTTGACATTAGGTAAATAAACATTGAAAAACCCACAGAAGCAGCAACACTGCATTGTCGAAAATATTTTAAATGAAGAGAGCGTATTCTGAAATATAAGTACATATACCTACACATTTTCATGGATTTCTCCCGACTGATTCTCGATATAAATACAGGGTGTTTCCTAACTATTGGGGGCGATTTTTTAGGTAATTTCAAGAAGAAAAGTTCCTATGAACATATGTCCGGAGTTGCTTCGTTTCTGAGATACAGGGCGTTGAAATTCTCAAATTTCATCAATTAAATTCCTGGCGGAAATAATGGAAAACTCATTTCTCCCATGCAGGTGTTCATGATATGCAATACAGTGGCTTTGATTTTTTTTTCTCGAAAACGATGCTGGATATGAAGAAAATGGAAGAGACCAAAAAGTTGTATTTTGAGTTGCTCAATGTAAAAAAAAATAAAAATTTACCAAAAAAGTCAGTGGCGTTCTTTTTTTCACAATATTGTTGGCTTTGGTGCCCACTGAGACGCCACTGGCCCCGATAATTTCAATTTAAATAGGGCGCCCAGCAAACACAGGGCAGTAACTGTAAAGTACTATGGAAGTAATTTTGCAACTAATATCCGCGTGCGATGTACGAAAAACATCTCCTCCCGCTCTTATTTGCAGCGAAATGTCCGCGACATCAAGTACGCATTTCATTAATTGTGTTGTTCAAATTGAGATTTGATAAAATAGCCCAAATGAAACATATATCCGTATAGTCACTGTGGCAGTTTTTGAGACAATAAATGTCGTATTTACAATCACATTGGGCACATTCATGCGAGGATTCTCTGAGACTTCTCCATTTTATTCCTTTTGATATGGTGACTTTCTCGAATAGACTTCTTTGCGATGTTTCTCGATGACGATCTTTTCAACTAGAAATTCAACACATTTTGTGGTAATGACATTGTGGTTGTTTATTATTATCTTGAAATAATAATCACTGCATCTTAGATTTCTTGTTAACAAAGCGAATTCTCAATATAACCACGTTCAGAACAAACATGCGTAATCAAACTGAAAACATATTTCCATTTGCAATTTGGGACTTCGCGAAACTGCCATGTGATGTAACGTGTTTGCTGGGGCGCCATATTAGTTAAAATTTCAACCAAATCGGCGGTTCTAGGATATTCATGATATTTTATAACTACCGTTTTTTTTTCTTTAATTTCAACGCCCTGTATCTCAGAAATGAAGCAACTCCGGTTAATAGGAACTTTTCTTCCTAAATTGACCTATATACATATAACGAATCACCACCTGCAGTTAGGAACCGTAGTTAGGAAACACCCTGTATTATTGTGAACAGAAGAGGAAGATTTTTCACAAGAGTTGAAAATATACAGGGTGTATCATTTAGAAATTGATTTGATTTCTTTCTCATTTTGCTATTCGAGTTTGGGCCAAAAGATAGTACTGTTGAAATCCTACAACTTTGATATTTGAAGTTTTTTCCACCTCGAATGGTTAAAGCTGTAGGTAGAGGTCAAAATATACAGGGTGTTTCATTACTAATTGGAAATATTTCAACCATAGATTCCCGGACTCAAAATATGAAGATTTAACATAAATCACCTAGATAAAATATGTCTCCTGTCTGAGTTACATGGTGTTTTATTCAAAAATTTTAAAATGTTTTTTGCCCAGTTCTTCAAAACTATTTGACGTATCACTTTCATATTTGGAGGGAAGTGTAGGTATTATACACCCAACTGAATTATGTGAAATGAACTTTTCTAGCTATTACCAGACGCGTACGACAGGTGCAATTGACTGGTTTTGATCCCTCCCAAATTCTACGCCACTGGCGGAATTGCAATTCTATTACAAATTTTCGATTCTCCAACAATTTTGACGTAGATATTGTACTCCATGGCGATAAAGTCATTATTTTTCGAGATATTTCAAGTTAAACATGAAGCAGCACAATTATTTCGATTTTAATGTCTATCAATATTGTCGATATTTTGGATCATTACCGTCTTTCATAACCGAGTTCATAACTATAAGATACAGGATGTTATCCACTTACCTATATTACTAAACAAAAGTTAAATCGGACTCTGTCTTCAGGAAAAACCGAGGAAAAAACAGACAACTTCTTCTTTCTCAAAAATAACACTTTGTAGGAAAAATTCAATAAAGTGGCCTTCTTTTCAAGTGAGCGCATCCAATTTGACCTTTTTGACATTTGCGTTATCTGAGATCATTACTTTTTCTACAAACGTACAAAAATGCCAAGGCTCACGCATTGATAAAAATATGCGAATTTTCCCATACATTTTACCCCAGGACGAAGTATATATATATAGGTACTTCGCGCATTGTTGTGAAATAGAATGAGCTTTTATTTGTATATTCAACCTTTATGGTTCTCAATCGAATGTTTAACAATAATTAAGGCCTTTTTAGCCAGTTCATTACTATTTTGTATATCATCTATATATAATCTGTAGGAATTCGATCCTATAGGAGAATGATCCATCAATATCCAATGCTTTCAGTTCTCCGGTGAGATTTTGTGTATTGTATATTTACTATATTTCCTCGGATTGAAATGGATATGGATACAAACAATATTAAAAAACCACGAGGTATTAGCAAAGAGCATAAATACTTTTAATAGAAATAATGGAGGCATCTGAGGACTTGAGGAAAGGAAAATGTCACCTCCTATTCACTTATAAGAATTCTAAAATATGATTATCAATCCTCTAGTAATGTCTTTGGACAAACGAAAAACTTTAATAAATTGTGCAGCAGACAAACTCGAATGGGTCCCTTCTAGGCAAAAATCTTCTTCTTGGTCTTCTAGCAAGGATTTCAGCCACTTCAAAATGTTGTAAGGTATCTAAATGATCTATTTCATCTATGTTTGCTATGTTTTACAATACATGTTTTTCCGATTTTTCACTCTTCACTCTGCAGAGATTCAAATTTATAAATTTAACGATATTAAATTCGAAATTTCATTTGAAAAATTCGAAAGATTATCAGTCAATGACATTTATGACAGACATACCAAGGTTGGTAGCACTAAAGAGAAAGATGGAAGAGAGAGAACCCATCATTGAGAACCCAAGGAGAGTATACAGAGCTTCAGAGAGTCAATCCAAAGAATATTAGTTTTGGTCAATCGTTCCATTTTTCGTTATAGTAGTGATTGAGTGTTTATATTGTTTCAAAACTACCCAAAATGAAGAATAATTTTCAATATTTCTATATTTTTTCATCACATGTCGATTCTAGTACGATCTATTACAATTGCATACTAGATTTTAGTACGAAGGATCACTACTAAAAACCGAACGCTGGAGAGAGCTTCCCTCTCTCTCGTTCAAGGTAGAAAAGAGCTCAATGTATATATTCCAATGAACTCAATTATATTGAGTTCATTGATATATTCTTTTCATGTCAGATTATTTGGCAGAACAGAACAGGTACAGAGTAATACGTGACGTGTCAGTGTCACCTGTCACGGTCACGTCCTCCAGTGTGTCGATCTTAGATCATACATCCCTGTATGATCCAAGGTGTCGATACCAGTGCTGCCAATGTGCGGAGGATCCTCCGAAAAGGGGTTGTTTTTGGCGTTAGAGGTTTTTTTGAAGGAGGATTCACGAAAAGCGGAGGAAAGGGGTTTTTTTAGCCATCACTGTAATTTTGTTACTCAACTTTAGTGTCTTTAGTTGAGGCTTGTGCGCGCAATATCTGACCATGATCATGATCGAATCCTCCGTGAGTCTATGAAGTCGGAGTCTGTGTTCTTGTTCCGAGCTTCTGTGGTGGTTTGAACATGAATATTATATGACCATCGGTGGTCGGTGTCAATGATGTGAATGTTGTCAAGTTCCATAGTCATAAGTTGCGTTTTTTTCTGATTCCACCACCGGAATCACTTTAATGTGTCGTTTTATTACTTTTCCGATTCTGGTTGCAACCTTTCATTCCGTCTCACTTAAAGGAATTGCATGGAATAACTGTTGACAGTTGTCAAAAAACTAAATTAGATTGACGAAAAACGAAACTTTTTGAAATACATTTGAAGACATTTTTATCGTGAAGTTCACAAGTTTATGATTCTTTCAAATAAGACATGTTTCATATGTTCATTCCCAAATAAAATTAATTCTCTCGATCTGAGGGAAGTTTATCCAATCACCACAATCATTGCTCCAAATATTTATTAATTGATTTTTTAGATTTCTAACTCTTGTATCAAGATTTTGAAAGCATTTATTGAAGTCTCGATATATAAATATAACCTCCTATATGTTGGTTGACTAATCTCTGTCCCATGCAATTGTCATGAAGATTCTCGTTTCATTTTGAAACGTCATTTTGTTCCCACCACCGCTACCAGAATTAAACAAATAAAACGCAACTATAACCTCATCATTTATGTGACGTCAGATTTCGTTTCATTTCATAACAGTGTCGAAAAGAGGAGGTTTTCGTTCATTTGCGGAGGATTTCACGTGCTAAGGAGAAGGAAGGACTCGAATTGCATTGGCAGCACTGGTCGATACTTGTCGATTGGATGTCCGTTACGATACGTATGTCCAGTGATTTAACAAATTTTATTTTTTCGTTGATTTTCAAAGTAAAAATATTGAAATCAGTGTAAACTGTATTGCAAAGACTACAAGTGTGAACCATGGACTTGCGTTTGGTGACATGAGGTTCCTACATCAAGTGAAATATGTAAGTCCAAACACTTTTTATTGAACTTCTTAAACCTAGATTGTCTTTATATTTCTCAATTATCATAAACTTGTGGTATGTTTTCCCTGATCCAAGTGATGTATTTCTTGACGTTTGTGTATACACTCGGCACTCCTGGAGCCCCACATTGGTCCGAACCGAAAGAAAGTATTCCCACCTACAAAATTTAGTGATTATTATACCCACATCCATACCTAGGTACCTATAAATAGTTGTATGTGTATCTGCAGTTTCACCTGATAATGCATGTCTCCATGTCTCACTAGAAGGGGGGCTCCACCAAAACCACTGCAAGCATCATTTCCTAGAACAAAATATATATAATCGGTAATATTCATCTGTGACCTACAGTGCCTGGAACATCTCATTACAATTTTTTAATTGTCATCATTATCAGATTCAAAACGTTAGTTCTAAAAATTGAATAGGCGTCCCAGCGAACATGTTTTCATATAATATGTCTTGTTTGGTAACGAATTGCAAAAATTCCAAGAATGATAGTGGTTATTATTTATATTTGAGTCAAATCTTCATATTCCAATATTCGTTTCATGGAATTGCATTCAATAATGTAATATGATGGATATAACTACAAAATTAGCTTTATATGTGCCTTTGATGTTGCGCCACTGTTAGGGATCTGCACTCGTTCAATGAAGGGGAACAAAAAAATGACATTCCATCTCTTATAAAACATATCTTATGTTTTTTGTTCTGCTGTTTTATAACACACATAAAATATGAGATGTTCGGGGCTCTCTACTGTGTTATACAGGGGTTGATCAAAGGTTAACGTTGAATGTATAAGGTATAGGCAACCTGAAACTTGATAACTTGAATACATTATGTTAAAATTGATAATCATAAAATGTTATCTAGGTATCCTATAATAAATATAGGTAATTTTGAAATTTGAGCATTTGTAATTAGTCACTGATGACATTTTTTCAAACTTTGAAAAAACACCCGGTTGACCCAGTATATGTACCTGGTTCTCCTCCTGCACAAACTTGTTCTTCAGAAATTGGCAATGTTCTTCCATAAACCCTGACACATTCTTGAATGCTTATTATTGGCAATTTTAGTATTTGCTGTAAAGGGGGTGCATCTGAAACAACCGATGAAAATAATATACAGGGTGATCCAGATCTGACTTTTCTTATTTTGAGAGAAAAAAAAAATGAATAGTTTTTTGCAACTCACACGTTTGTCTGGCTGCTTTACCCCATCCTACTAGCAGTGCATTGTTACTAGTAACCGACCATGATTCTGGCAAACAGATTGGCTGAGTAGTCACTAAAAAGTATGAATTTTTAAAATGACGTACATATTTTCATCATCTACTGAAATAGTAATTTACGTAATAAGTTCGGAAAATACTGTTTTTCTGGACGAGTAGACAAAATTCTAGGCCGAGCCGAGGCGAGTCCAAAAAAACTGTTTTTGGACGTGTTGTGTACACTATTTTTTCGGCAACCATGTACAGGGTGGGCAAAATTGGGCGTTTTCACCGTCTATCTCAATAACTAGAGGAGTTATCGAAAAACCGATATACATGTTCCGGGTTCGATTTTGGAGAAACCTCGAATGGTACAATCAAAATTTCGATATCTTCATTCGTTTTAGAGATACAGGGGAAAAATGAAAATTTGCCGATTTCGATTTTATTTTCTGACTACTTTACGGTGAGAGGTATCAAAAAATTTCAAACGTATATCTATATAGTATGATGCGTGGAATCCATTGGCATCATCAGAAATTTTATACAGGGTGACGTTGAGAAAATACGGCAGCCAATTATGTTTTTTCTAATGGAACACCCCGTATATTTTGACACAGTTGAATAGTCCCAGGCGTTCTCATTACAAATATATATATATAACCCTACCTTTTCCTTCCACAATTTCAGATATATTCGCAAAAATATATTCAGTGTGTCACATTTCTTATGGTTACACCCCCGTATCTTCTGTAAGAATAATTGATGGAAACATTAACAATCATAATATTTTGTGGCAGAATGCCTGAATATGATACTTTACCCATTATTTCTAGTATGCCTTAATATTTTTGCGTTCAAAGAGATAATAAATAAGATATATATTTGAAATTGAAACGGGAACTTTCCTCTCTGCCAAAATATACGGGGTGTTCCATAAAATTGTTCTGTATCTGGAATTTGGACATCTTCTATAAGGCTATATTTTTCAACGCAACCTACTGATTTCCTAATTGAGTAAATTATTGGTCTTATATCTGTATCTCAAATGTCTTGATAACAATGATATCAAATCGAATAATTTCCCATTTTATTTCTCACCAAATATCCATTTATCTGGAAATTATATTCCCTATGATATTTATTTTCCACATTTGGTGAATATATACAGAGTGTCATTTTCAACCTCGATTCTGCCTGTTGATAGCATTATACAGAAATATCGATGATTCCATAGCTGCTGGCGAGCAGTGTTATCATTGGAGATGATCCCACTTGGTCCATGACTCCATGAGTGTATCATTTGTATCTTTCTGACAGTTGCGAATTTTTGAATCCTACCTCAATTATTTTTACAGAAGATACGGGGGTGTAACTATAAGAAATGTGACACACTGAATATATTTTTGCGAATATATCTGAAATTGTGGAAGGAAAAGGTAGGGTTATATATATATTTGTAATGAGAACGCCTGGGACTATTCAACTGTGCCAAAATATACGGGGTGTTCCATTAGAAAAAACATACTTGGCTGCCGTATCTTTTCAACGTCACCCTGTATAAAATTTCTGATGATGCCAATGGATTCCACGCATCATACTGTATGAATATACGTTCGAAATTTTCTCATACCTCTCACCGTAAAGTAGTCAGAAAATAAAATCGAAATCGGCAAATTTTCAATTTCCCCCTGTATCTCTAAAACGAATGAAGATATCGAAGTTTTGATTGTGCCATTCGAGGTTTCTCCAAAATCGAACCCGGAACATGTATATCGGTTTTTCGATAACTCCTCTAGTTATTGAGATAGACGGTGAAAACGCCCAATTTTGCCCACCCTGTACAATAACAAATCAATGAGACACATTTCCATATTATATTTCTTTGTAGAATACAATTTCTTCTTTATTAATAACAGAATACCTTTACCTACTGACTGTTACATTGGAAATTCAAAAATCAAAATGTCAACTGATTTCATGTCAAATAGCTGTCAGCCGATATTTCGCTGCTATGGTAATTATCATCTGCATTTATGAAATCCTTATCAACCAACATTTTCATAGTTACAGTGACAACGATGTGATACTTCCCGGACTAGGCCGAAAAAAATGCTACTTTCTCAAAGAAAAAGCGTCAGGGAAGTGAGCACTTTCCGGACGGTTGCCGAAAAAAAATATTTCGGAGATATAACTAAAAACAATTCATCAAACTCGGTAAATCCAAGTTCCTAACCTTGTTATTTGCGGATTTCAGAATAATTTGGAGTAAAATTTAGATAGGTACCGCATTGAATAAGCGTGACAATGGCTTCAGAGTTTGAATAATTTTTTTTTATACTGGTCAATATTTTCGTCAATTGATGAGTTGTGATGATTACTTACTTCCTTCCTGGTTAATGATGGGTTGAAAAAACTTTTATGCAACATGGAATTATTTACGGTAAATTCGTGAGAAAATTATGTGCTTTTATCAAAAGTGTGTGAGAAATTGAAGTACACAGATGAAAACTGGTAATTCTGTAATATTTTCTTCTAATAAATAATAATAACCAATGAAAAAATAAGATTTCCAATTTTTAGAGACCAGTAAATCATTTCGTGGCCTATATACGACTGATTAAATTAGACTGCGTTACCAAATCGTTCCCAGTTTCTGGGGTATTAGGAATGAATATCTCACAGTTTTCACAATTTTTGTGAAGAAAAATCACCTCATATTAATTAATACAGGACGGTACAATAAGTCATTTTTTATTCAAATGAAACTTTTTACCCGTATAGTTCATTCTGCTTTTCGTCACCAACAGAGCTATATTGTTTCTGTATGTCTGTTTTTGGTATCCTGGATGGACTATCACGTGACTCACGCCTATGTCTTGCGGCGGCAGTCCACAGAATTCTTCTCCGCAATCGATGTCTGTGTTGGTCTTCCATTCTCCCAATCTCACCGAAAATCTAAATGAAAAAAAAGGGAGATAATTCACAACGTATTGAACAGAGGAAATACATTAGTTGTAAATCAAAACAAACCTCGCTCAACGCGTTTTTAGAGATTTGTATATAGAGGTTTCAAATGGCGACTCCTGTATAAGAAGTTTGCATAAACTTGCAGGAATTTATGTATAATTATATTGAAACACAGTAATAGATGAATAAATACCGGTCAATTATTATTTGGAAGTATAGGTGTCTGCTCTTACAACACGAATTTTATATATTGAGATAAAGAAATAAGATTCTTTTGAGTTATTTGCAGATTGAAATATTCAGCATAAAAAAATGATAGCATAGCGTGAACTTACAGTTTGAAATTATCAGCTTTTGCTAGTGCACAGTGGGCAGCAGTAAGTATGATCCTGTTGCTAATAATTGAGCCCGTACAAGGATATTTCACTTCTCCCGTCAGAACGTCTGGAACAAGATACATTTCAGATTCCAAGAAACAAAAAAACAAACAATTATTGTGAACAGAATTATTGAAACAACACTTATAAGACCACAAAATCGTCTCCACAACTTTCTATCAGTGGATTATTATAGGATTGGGGTATCATGGGATTTGGGCATCACGTTTTCCGCTATTTTTTCACATCGTGGCAACGCTGCACAGTTCAGCAATCGTTTGAGCATCTTGGGAATTAGACTCGTGTGATTTAGTTAACCTGGGATTCGGACATCCTAAAGGGAGTGAATCTCCACGAAATATTCGTACAGCAGATTTTCAGTGACTACTAAAGACTTTCAGTGACTTTCAATGACTACCAATGACAACCAACAGTACCTAAGAAATTGGGTAGGTATCGTGGGAATTGGGGAATTGGGGAATAGTGAAAATTAGGCATCGTAGAAAATTTGGCTTTTGTGGCAATTGGGCTTTGTGAAAATTAGGCATCATGGGATTTGGGCATCCTGAGGAATTGAGCATCGTGAGCAATAAGAGCCACATTTTGTGGGCATCGTAGGAATTGGGCTTCGTAAAAATTGGTCGTCGTCATGAGATTTGGGCATTGCGATACGTATCCGTAATGGGATCATGATAATTCATCGATGAGTCGTCTAAGTTTTTATATTATGTCACCGAACAGAACCATATGATTTTATTCAAAATTATGTTATGTTTATGTTCAATTATCAAAGCATCTCAATTTTCAGAATGTTTTGTCTTTTCGTTCTCCAGATACTTCTAATAGGCCATCCACCGTGGATCACCCTGTATATCTATCACCTATCTAACAAACTATTATTCTTGGGAGGAAAGGGGGGTGAAAACCCCTATTTGTTCCCCCCCATATCGACGCCCTTGAAAGGAGGTAGGTATACTCACTCCTGAATCCGACCCTGGCCAGCCACGGGTACGCTCCTATGCCCTCGTACCCGTCCCCTTGCACTTGGCTGACGCCACACCTGGTACCGTCTGATGCCGTCGGTAGAAGGGTGGTGGGTTCGCCGGTTTGGGGGCAGCAAACCAGGCCGGAACCTTGGTACCCGCAACCTAGGTCTCCGATACTGAAAATCCAACGGGAATATTAGAATGGGCCCGTTTCAGTGAAAATTTCACACCAAACATTTTCGATCAATTTGAAGCCTGTGTTTCGTATCGTTACCATAGCAACTAAACGAATTTCTTGGAATTTTTTCCTCCTCCTTGGTAGACGGAGCATGAAATTACACTGGAAATTATTGGACGTTTATAGGTTAAGTGTCATTTACATTCAACTTCAGATCATTTCGAGTTCATTCAACAAGTGGGGAAAGTTTAACTTTTCTCACGAGTGTGAAAATTTGTGACACGAGCCTGAAGCGAGTGATGCAAACACACGAGTGAGAAAAGTACTTTTCCCCACATGTTGCACACTATACTTTTTCTACAACTGCATTCATCCAAAGAATCCAAGTAATGTAACTTATAGGTGTTCATTTTATAATGTGACACTATACCACATTGAATATTGTGACCAAAGAGCTAGTAGACGTCTTTCCTATAGTTCCTAAAAGTATTTCGAAAAAGTACACTTTCCGAAAGAGATTCAATTCCTTTTTTTTTAAACCTTTCATAAATTCTTCGTATATGCTAATTCATAATTTTTTCTTGGAATTTCCGAAACAAATCCTATTTTCGCAGCATTTTCCATTATCTCTGTCTCTGGCGGTGTATTTATCAAAATCGTCACATCTCGGTATGAATTGTTGGAATAATATTTGATGGAAAATGCGATTTGAATCAAAAGCACTGATGAGAACTACCCTAAAGAAATTTAAAAACTTCTTCTGACAGTTGTGACAACTATTCAAAGCTGAACACCAGCCAATTAAGTTTTGGTCGATTTTTGTTGCTTCCCCATAATGTGGTGTTGGCAAAGTGCCGTGAGAAAAAATATTTCTCACAGTATGAGCAATACATGGTTTTGAAACTAAGTATGCTATTAGAAATGCGCTACTTTTCATAGCAGTAGTAGAAAAAATCATTTATCAATAGTTTACCATATAATATTATGTAGGTATACTTGCAAATTCGAAAATTACAAAAACCCATGTTGTTACTATACGTTAGTTCTTACATTTCATCACAACAATCATCATATTTCCAGAAATAATTGAATCTCTCGTGATATTATGAGTGAAAATTGCACATCCAATGCAATGATAGAGATTTGAAACGACTCACCCAAAAATGTAGTAATATTTGTATCCGAATAATTTCCGATCGCTACAAGCGATTTTGATTAACTTTTTTTTATCCTAATTATTCATTATTGAGCCATATGATGGGGTAGGCTAATAGTCATTAAACATTACTAAAGAGAATATACCGGGTGATTCATGCACAGGTGTTTTTTAAATGCAATTATATAAATAAATGAACTAAATTGCGTGCGGGTATAGGGTGAATCACGCACGCTTGTAGAAAAAAGCTATTTCTGCAGTGAAAAAATTCGATTGAAAACTAGATTTCATTAGGTTTTCCCGAGGTTGCTCCGGCTCAATTGGGTCACACTCGCAAACTTTCTTGTTCTTCAAGCTATTTCTATTATGAAATATTGAAGACACGTCACTTTCATTAAAAATCCACTTCATATCAACAAACTTTCGAAACACTTTTTTTCACATTTTTCTGTCCTACCTGTTGCTGAGGATACAGTCATTGTCGATGAGATTGCTGAGTATTGGACAGGAAGTAAGTGGAACACATTGAGTGTTCGACGGACAAAACGTCGATCTTTTGCTGAAACGACTGTTTCCGTCCTTTCTCTCCTCAAGAGCTGAAAATTTACATCAAATAGGAATAATCAGCAAACAATGAAGTATTTCGTATTTTCATTCAGTCTCGAAATGATCATACACCTTGCTTTTTCTCGCATTTTTTTTGTCCAATGATGAAAAAAGAAGGACAAATTGTTCTAAATGCGATCCAGAAGACAGGCGGAAAAGAAGGTGAAATTTGTAACTTTATAGTGAAACATTTTAATAAATAATGGTTTGTTCACATTTTCATTATCAAATTTGTGTTTTTCAAACAAAAATACGTAAGTACCAAAAATCATTGTCGAATAAAGAACATCACATGATAAATGCAGTTTAACCGAAATTATTGCCATAGACAAGTGAAAAATAAACACATAAGGAAACCTCTGGCGAAAACGGTAAGACATAGATTGGGTTCGTATCTCAAATGATGAAATCATGCGTATATTATCTTCTACAGAATTATTGTGAATGCACCAAGAAAGGAAAAGCTGAGGAAATCCATTGACAAATTGTTCATCCTGTATAAACTAAATATTGCAATAAACAATGATCCAATGAATGTTTTTATATGGATGACAGTCATCATTGACATCATTATAATTTATGGTATTAACTTGATCAACAATTCATGTCGGCTATAAGTAATGAATTTATTGTCTACTAATATAATTATAGACTAGATGAAGTACTTTTTGATGACAAAATTGTCTTCAAATTAATATAGCAAGGTCATTATCAATGCATGGCTGGGGTTTCTTTCCCATAAGGAACCATTAGGACTTCCATCTAAGGAAATTTGTTATTAATATTTTTTTCGGTTGGAGAATCACAGCCTTGATGTTTGTTGTATATGTGCTCGATCTGAATTTAAATTTATTTATAATTGTTTATTAGCTCGATATTGTTCGTCTACAAATATAAATTGTATTGCACTTTAGCCAAGGCCGTTTCAAAGTACGAATGGCATCATCAATGGAAAATCCTTATCAAAAAACGCTATACCTACCTATTCGAATTTTCGTAATTACATTATGGCATGATGATCAACTATCTTATATCACTATCATTTTTTCATCATCCATCAATATTTCGGTAAAATCAAGGAAATAGATGCTCAATGGAGAACAAAAAAATGAAATTGTGTTGATACAGTTTTCGGGTGAAAATTTCATCGGTGTCTTCTTCTTCTCTCTGGGTTTATTGGATTTATGTCTCCTTTCGGAAACAATTTCTCCATATCAGGTAATTTTGTTTTCAAGAATAAATACTTGGGTTTTATAATAATATTATCACTCGACTCGCCACATAAGATACCGGTTGTCTCTATCACAATGGCCTGAAGCCGAATCATCAGTGTTCATTGGATTCGATCGTATGTTCTCCTCTTATCCAGCAAATCCGTTGCTGATCCGGCCTGGTTACCGGCGTAGAGATAATGGAGCACGTTTGACTTCAAATATGGCCCCCTTATCCGATGAATCCGTCATCATCCGGCCTCTATACCGGCGTAGAGAAAAAAGAGCCTGATATTTCTCACATACACTTATTGAACTTCACATTAAATATTGAATTTCAATCCAGATCAGGTAATTAGAAAATTTTATAGCTCTAAATATTGAGTTTTTCAAGTATAATAGGTGTATACCAAATTTTCAGAGAATTGTAGAGAAACCTGGAACACCATTGAGAAAATCTCAAAGTTTGACTCTCTGCATACAGGGTGGATTTGAAAGTGAGGTTTTTCATTTAACAGGGTATAGATCCCGCCAAAATTGGTTGTTTGACCAAAAATTGTTCATGTTGAAAATATAAGATAACACTTCACTTTAAAACGAAAATCAATAGGTTGAAAATGTAAAAAGAGGTTTTTGATTAATTTTTCTAATGAAATATTGCTACTGTAGGGTATCTATGCTGGACTAATATCAGCTTTTTTACGTTTTTTGAGAAAATCTTGACAAAATGTTTTATATAGTTGGAGTCTTCTTCAAACCGTTGAATACCCCTGTACCTCCGTTATCTTAGATATTTTACGTGAGCAATGTTTGCCAAACAACTCACTTTCAAATTCACCATGTATATGAACTCTTCATCTTGAAAATATGTGTTCTTCAAGCTGCTACAAAAAACTTTCTCACCCTGTATAACGAAATACAAATTATAAATTAACCACCTAGATGAAATGAAAAAAAATGAATGATTGAAACATGACTTTTTCGAAAATACAACCCAAAAATGATGCTACTGAATGTAAAATGATCTCCATAATATAAAAATGCGAGAAAATGCATATAGTGTGTCATTTGAGAACCAATAGTTGAGTTTCACTAAACAAAATGAAACAAACAAATGCGAAATGTGAATTCGAATTTTTATAAATTTCAACTCGAAAGTTATTCAGGTGCTTGTGCTTAATGAAATTTATTCATTAATCTGTTTGATAAAAATCCACTTACATTTCGATCTCGCAACGACACTTGAAAAAATCACAATGACGACTGCGATTTTGGAAATCGCTTCCACCCGGTACATGTTGATACTGGTCACTCGGCTCGTTTTGGATTGTTATCTGACCAGGACTGCCGAACGAAAAAAATCACTCGTGAACAGTTTTGACCTTCCGTACGAAAATCATCTTCATACATGCGTGAAGTTGTTTCCGATGGCGAATCACAACAGTTACCTCCCCTCTACACCCTCTGGAGGATCGTTTATTTTTATCATTTTTATTGACCGCGCTCGACCATATACAGAGAGGTGTACAAAAAACGACCAGTGCTGTATCTTCTGAATCAATCGAGATCGCATTACGAAAATTAAATTAGGAAAACAATGTTTGTTCTATCACTCACATAAAAAATATAGAACAGATACAACAAATTAGTGTTGCCGTCTAGACTTATACATTCTAGACTCTTGTCTTGTCTAGAATATCAAGACAAGATCATCAATATGTCTTGTCTAGATTATCTAGACAAGACAAGACTATTATTCAAAACTCTTGATTATTTTCAAATCTATATTACAAATACGTCGTTTCGCTGGCGCGGCTATGATTTGTTTTGATTGGTTCCCAGAGAGCGGGAGTTTGCATGCACTTGACTGTTTCTACGCAATTTAAGCTAAGCGTCTTATCTAGAGTCTTGAATAAGAATCTAGACTTTCGTTATCTAGACAAGACCGCACTTAGCTTATTTAATCAAGACTTACGCGTATACAACTCTTGTCTTGAAATTTCAAGACAAGAGTAGGTGAACTCTTGTCTTGTCTTGTCTAGATGGCAACACTACAACAAATAGTTCATCACAAAAAAAGAACCTACCCCTCGGAGACAGTATACAAAGTAACATCTATTCTTGAAATCAGACAACTCTACTTTCTCAAAACCACAATTAGACAACATATGGATAAACGAAAAAAAAAATCGAGCATCAACTCGCAACTCGTTAAAAAATGAATGCCTCCATGCCTCCTATGTCATGAAATCACAGAGAAACACACTCCAGAGATCCTATTCATATTTAGCTCCTCGGCTGTACAATCTTATTCCAGCGGAAATCAAGTCAAATAACATCAACCTATTGAAAAAAAAGTTAAATATTGGATATTGAGCCAAGACTGCAGATACACCAATATGTGGATATGAAAAATACATATTACTATGCGGAATCCGGAAAAATCCGAAAAAGACTGATTGTGTTTCAACATGAATAAAAATTAATAAATAAACATTATTCATCTGTATTCCCTAAATGCTCGAAACTCGAGAATTTGTCCATTTCACTTCTCGCGTACCATGTATACATTATATACCCATAAAGAATTTGTGGAATAGTGACTGTCATATACAGAGTGGAAAGTCTAACTGGAACAAATTCTGTAACTTGTTAAATAAAGGTTTATCTCAAAATGCCTGAAACATGTCGATTTTTATTTTCAAAGGGGCATATTACAAAGAGATTTGTTTATCTTTTTAATTATCTGGAGGGTTGTAGCCACCCCCAACTTTTTTTTTTCAAATGGAAGGGTAGGTTGATTAATTTTTTAATGGCAAGCTTGTTCAATTGCAAATACACTTCAATTGTTTTCTGTTACTTTTTATAAGCAATGTGTCGGAAATAAATTAAATAAGGAAATAGTTACTGAAATTATACGATCCGCGTACGCACCTGACTACGACGTAGACAGTATAAGATTTTTTGTATAGTGTATAGGTACACTGTTTTTTACCTGATAGGCCCAATGAAACACCTGCTCGATTTGAAATGAATGTGATTGATTTGTTAGTACTTGTTTGCAATCCCACGTGTGAATTAAAACCGAAAAATAAGACAATGCCCTATTTAACCGAGACGCATCGTATCGAAATTTTAACGATGATCGGATATGGGGACAGAAGTCGAACACAGGCTGAAGTTGCTCATTTGTTTACTGAAGTTCATCCAGAATTACCATCAATTAATCGAAGTACGATCAGTAAAATTGAAACTCGATATCGGGAGTTGGGCCACGTAAGGGATGCTCCTCGACAAAAGGTTTTAAAAGTCGACGAAGAAGCCCAGTTGAACATATTGTTGGAAGTTGAAGAAAATCCTGTTACTCCAGCTAGGCAAATAGCTCGCGTTCATGGTGTCAGTCACACAAGTGTTTTGAAAATTCTGAAAGCAGCCAAAAAGCACCCATATAAAATGCAAAACCTGCACGAGCTTAACGAAGATGATCCTGATCGTAGAATCGAATTTTGCGAACGAATGATGGCTTCTATCGATGGTGGACGAATTGCTTTGGAATGGGTGCTGTTTTCCGATGAGTCTACGTTCACATTACATGGGCATGTCAATCGACAGAACTGCCGTTATTGGGCTGACGAAAATCCCCGTTGGATGCGTGAATGCCATACTCAAAGGCCTCAAAAAACAAACGTCTGGGCAGGAATTATTGGGGATCGCATAGTAGGTCCTTTTTTTTTCAATGGAAACGTAACCGGAGAAACATACCTTAATATGCTCCAACAAGAACTGATTCCTACGTTAGTAAATTTATTCCCCAATAATTTGGATCCCAACTTATTTGACCGACGGATGTGGTTTCAACAAGATGGGGCACCACCACATTTTGCTCAAAATGTACGGACCTACATTAACGAAGTGTTTCCAAATAGGTGGATTGGAAGAAGGGGCCCAATTGAGTGGCCAGCAAGATCACCCGATCTTACCCCATTAGATTTTTTTTTATGGGGATATCTGAAGAGCAAGGTTTATGACACTAAACCTAACGACATCGCCGAGCTTCAACAACGAATCACGGACGAAATTAGGCAAGTAACGCCGGAAGTGTTACAAAATGTTCGGAATGCTTTTTATTATCGATTGGGATTATGTCAGCAACAAGGTGGAGAGCAGTTTGAACATTTATTGCATTGAAATAATTTCAGTAACTATGTCCTTATTTAATTTTTTTACGACATATTGCTTATAAAAAGTAACAAAAAAAAATGGGAGTGTATTCGCAATTGAACAAGCTTTCCAATAAAAAATTAATCAATCTACCCTTCCATTTGAAAAAAAAAAGTTGGGGGTGGCTGCAACCCCCCAGATAATTAAAAAGATAAACAAATCTCTTTGTAATATGCCCCATTGAAAATAAAAATTGACATGTTTCAGGAATTTTGCGATAAACCTTTATTTATCAAGTTACAGAATTTGTTCCAGTTAGACTTTCCACTCTGTATATTAAATATATGTCTGTGTCTGTGAATACTTAATTTTAGTTTGTTTCAGTTTATTTTTATTACCATTATTATTATTTTTATTATTATATTATTCCTATCCCATGCACAGGTTTATCCGCCTGTGGGATTTCTATATTTTTTATCATCAAAAAATTGTATGTGTATTGTATTGTATTTTAATTATGGTGATTTATGGTAAATAAATATCATTATTATTACTTACGGTTTCACCGGAAACTATCCCAACGTTTGCTCTTTGGTTGGGACACCCTGTATTTTATTCCATAATCGATTAGGGATTATCAAGGCGAATTCATCGATACCGGGATTAATAGGGTAATTTGAGGGGTTAAATCACGGGCCAATTTCGGGTACACTAGACTTCCTTTATCGAAAGAATTCCTGGAATACCTGGGACTACCCAAGGAATTCCGGGGATTACCAAAAGAAAACCCAGAATTCCTAAAGAATACCAGGAATTCCCAAAGACTTCCTGGACTACCCAAGGAATTCCCGGACTTCGCAAAGAATTCTTGGACTTCCCAAAGACTACCAGGACTACCCAAAGAATTCCCGTGATTCCCAAGGAATTCCCGGCCTTCCCATCAAACAATACCTGAACAACCCAATGAATTCCTGGACTTCCCAAGGGAATCCTTGAGGAATTCCAGTCTCGGGTACACTGGACTTGATTTACCCCTCGGGTAATTTCAAACCATCACGAGGATATTTGGTTTCGAAATGAATCTTGCAATAAGTTTAATTGTCAGAATGATGAGTTGCAATTACAATTTTTAATAACAAAACAAGATTGCCTGGCGTTCAGCGTCTTTGAATCCGAACCGCTTCTAGTAAGAATTTCATAATAGATATTTTGTTGGGTTATAGCGAGGCAATTGAAACATGATGATTTCGTACATAAGACATTTATTTAATTCAACCACTAGGTATATATAAAAAATATTCCGTAGTATTGAAATGAGATGATCAAACTTTGTTTTTCCACTTTCTAGTAAGATTGTATAATTATATTATGATCTGATTGATCTATAATCCGAAAATTACACATATAAATATAATTCAGGAACATTTTGGATGATATACCTAATAAACATTACAATAGAAACCTTGCAGATCCCAAAGTACCCATGCACGTGAAAAATGATTGTAGTGATACTGATATACTGGATGTAAGGGAAACTCTGGCAATCAAGCTCATAACATATTTAAAGATAGGTAAATGTGTCAAAAGTAGAATGTAAAAATTCACAACCCCACAGTTCGTCAAGAAGTTATACAGGGTATCCGAGAATAAGAGACCAATCCATCAACCACCATTTCTTTGAACAACAATAATAGGACTTTCCTTATTTCATTTTTCAACCTCCGTCAGAGTTCAAAATTCAAGGAAGTTTTTTCAATATCTCGAGTTTTTAAGTCATCGATTTTTCTCATTTTCTTCCAAAGATTTGACTACCGAATTTGAGATATATGCGGTAGCCAACATAAGAAAAGTCATCATTTTTGTTCAAGGAATATATGGTTACCGGATTGAACCTGCTTTTCGAGGACACCCTGTGTAATGATGAATTAACTTCACAACAATGTAAGAAGATTCGTACGTTTGGCTTATTTTTGTTTAGACGGAATGAACTTGTCTCTTAGGCAATAATTATAATCCTTCAAAAACAATATTCATTGACATTTTGAGAAATCCGATTGTTTTGTTGAAGTTGAAACGACCTAAAACCTGCCTGCTATATTATTTTTGAGAATTATTATATGAAGATATGAAATCAAAACGGCATAACGTCATAAGAATTGAAAAATAGTCTGCAAAAACCATAATAGTATGCTGCCTCTGAATTTCTTCCTAGCTTAACATGTAAAAAATGAATGTCAAATAAATAATATCACCTTATTATAATGACATATTGATATGCAAAGCTTTTTTCGATAGTTTCAGATGAACATCCAGGGGCCTTACTCTCAAGCCCAATAACTATCCTCAGCCATAGCAAAATATAAATCGATTTGAAAATATCATACCCTCATGGATGAACACCCGTGCAATATAGATTCTTCAGTTCCAATTCTACTGTGAATTGAACAAAACATCTTCGTTGCCCAGTATAATTTAAACCTTGAAACCTGAAGGAACATAAATTCATGAATATTATAAAATCCAATCAGAAATAAATTGATAATAATTATAATGTTCTGAAAAAGAGGGACCTATAATATTCCGAATTTTCAGTTCTAATTCTCTGATTATTACCATTTCTTGAAAGCCTCACAATACTCGTGATTTGTCTTTGCTTTAAAAATTACTACTTACATCAATTTCAGAAATTCTTGAAATGCTTAATATTTTGGTAGAAGTGATACTGAGAAAAAGTTTCTTAAGACTATAATATTGTTAGTCTTGAAATTGGTGTCACACGTATAGAAACCCTAAACATTTATTTTATAATCTCGAATATCTCTGCAAAAACTCGTGCTACTTATAGTTCCTAATAAACATTACAGATTGGCAACAACATTATTATCCATTTCATAGTGGTGTTTGAAAATTCATAATTTTTTTTCTCATGTTGATCTACGCGGATGTACTTTCTTCCTCTTGATTGTGTTTTGCGATTGCCAAAAGGATCATTGTGAGCTCTTTCTTGTTAACTTTGCCATCTTGACTGTAATCGACACCTCTCAGTATAGTCTCTTCAAAATCCTGGAGGTCCTGAGCATCATAGTCCTAGAGTAGAATTTGTTTAGAGAAATCTCGAATTTATTCAGACAACTCAAAAATTTTGAATTGACTCCTCCGTTATCACACTGATATCATTATTCATAGTAATTTTACATAGTATGATACACAGGCTAGTGAATGCCCCTCTTTCGGAAGTAAATATTCATTATAGAACTCAATATCCTAAAGCAGATTGCAGTCAACAATAATCTCACTCATAATGAAGCTATTCAAGAAGTTTATCCTACCATCAACAAGAATAATAATCAAAATTATAGAACTTTAACCTATTTTGGATCATCAACTGAATATACAATCAATAATTTTCGAGATATTCAAGAAAAACAAAAATACAAAATTTCAGTTTTTCTTGAATAACTCAAAAATGACTAAAGCTAGTGTAGATTTCACAACGGATTCTGAATAGAGATTGAATATGCTCAAGATTTAACCAACTCTCTATCACTCATAGATATCGAGATCCCACTGGAGTGGATCGAATTTAGGATACACTGCGTATTCTTGATCATGTTCTTCAGTTTATTTAAAACAATCGGTAAATTCTTCATATGAGCAAATTATTCGAAAATTTCAAGTCATCTTGAGAATTTTGGAGTTCCTTTCAATTTTTTCAAGTAAACGAATTATCGGATACAGTTTTGGCCTCCTAGATATCCTAAAATTCGTAGATTTCTCCAATGAAATAGAATTAAAGATTTTCAGAGATTTCTCAAGTACCTCCTATTTTTGAAAGTTCAACACCAAAAGTGATACTGACCTTCTTCACCAGTTCCAACAGATCTTTCAAAAATCCTCTCAATTCCTCGTTTTCTATTGTACCATTGTTATCCTACAGAAAAATATAAAATAGTTTCTAAGGTTATTTTGGAATTTTCAATATTACGTGGGTATGAAAAGATTTGGCGATTATAAGTAAAACGCCCTGTTGCAATTGTTTCAATTCTTCTTACCCTATCGTAGAGTGCGAAAACTTTCTCGATGTCAGCTCTGGTCAGTTTGGTGGCTCCCTAGACGATAAAAAAAACTTCTTGGTCAATATTCTCGCCGCTAAACGAAACACATTCAATGGTTTGTTTACTGATGTCTGATCGAGTGAAAAAAGTGATGGGCCATATATCACAATAAATGTATGAGAAACATTCGTCTTTGGTTTCAGTATTCACAGAGTAATGTCGTCTTCAGTACACGAACAAGGTTCGAAATTCACTTTTCCTGATATTTTGCTTGGTTTTTTATACACTCACCGGCAAAAAAAACGACCAGCAAAAATTTTACTTATCGAATCGCCCTGTAAGTTTGTGTAGATCTATGTTTCAGAGCGTAAGCTTGAAATTTAATTCTTTAAAAAATTTGATTGCTTGATCAGTTTACAAGGAAAAACGAAAGGTAATCTTTCACCCGGTGTGGTCCCTTCTTAACACAACGGTTTTTTGAAGCACATCAATATCTTCTTTTTTGATAAATATACAAGATATTTTAATTCTTATTAACAGCTAGATGACTCGGCAAACGTAGTTTTGTAATAAACATCAAGTATTTCAGGAAATATTTTTGAGTTGAATATTTATCGACACACTCTTTTTTCTACTTCTTTTTAGTTTAGCTATCCATAAATACGCGTTTCAATAGTTGTCCACACATCTATCTATTTCCTACTTCTTATTCTTAGTTCGACAAGCATATTTGTTTAAGCTACTGTTCAATGCGAAGCTCGTTCGCCATATTGGATCCGTCACCTTGAATTTCACAATTTTGAAGACAAAATTATAATCTTTGACCCCGAAAACCCCCAGATACAAATGAAGAATAGAATCGGATCATAATTACAATACTAGTTCCTTATATTGGATTTGCCATCTTAAATTTCCTAATTTTGACGAAGGAATCATAATCTTCGACCCCGAAAACACCCAGATACCAATTTTTAATGAAATCGGACCATGATTACAAAACTCGTCCGCCATATTGGATCCGCCATTTTGAATTTCCAAATTCTTACGAGAGAATCATAATCTCCGACCTCGAAATACCAATTTTTAACAGAATCGATCCACAATTACAATACTCGTCCGCCTTATATTGGATCCATCTCGAATTTCCAAATTTTGACGATTTGACGGTTGAATTTTGTAATTCAAGTTCGAAAGGGGCATACTCAGTAATTTAGGTTTATCTTTGCTAGTTAGTGCTGAAAAAAACAGGGTGGAAATAAGTGATATCAATGTTTAGATATTTTCTCGAGTTGTTAATCGATTTCTGCATATTTAAAAAATCTATACTTTTCTAAAAAACTTGTATCTTCTTTCAAAAAACAGATATTATAACGTAAATAAAAACCATTGTGTGGAGAAGGTACCACACTTCAATCCAAGTTAAGCGTGAATTAGTGAGTTTTGTTTTTTCCTGTATAATGATCAAGCCATCGGCTTTTTTTGGGAACTTAAATTCAGGTCAACACTTCAAAACGTCAGTCTATGATTATGTTGGAATTTCAACAAAATCGGACAATTTGGTTGATTTTTTTGGTGACTGTTTTATTTTGCCGGTGCGCGTATTACTCGGAGGTCGACTTCACTCTGTATGGCAACAGGACAATGAACATCGATTTTTTTTCATAAAGCAAAAACGTAGTTCAACAAATATTAAATTCATAAAACTTCATTCATTATTTTTGGGTACACCTGTTCGTTGTGTTTGTGTGAGTAGATACCCAGTTACTTGAGTCATCCCCTCCACCATTCGTTCGTGTAAAGTATAGTGGGGGTAGGCCCAAGTTCCTGATTACCAACGAGTATGTTTGTGTAGGTGAATCCATCCAATAATAGAGGAAAAATTGCATGCAAGAAAGACTCAGCGAAGCTTATATTACATGGTACTATAATCGCTATACAGGGATGCAAAGCTTAGTGATCCCAAAGTGGGGGTAGGAATACTTACTTCACAGCCTTCCTGAAGTGATTTGCCACAAAGATAGACAAGTAAGCCGTGCAATATTGAGAAAAATTAGAGGTTCGCATACATACAGGGTGGACACAGCTCACTGGGAATTGAAGTTTTTGAAATATCAACGTGTCACGAGATTCTCAAATGGATGAAGAAAAGTTGGGATTAGCCCATAATCTCTGAAATGAGTTTTTGTTGTTATCTTTGACAAATTTTATTGTGGAACCCAGTGCGCAAAGTTTTTGCGTTTTGAGCACAGGTTAGGAGCAGTATTTTTCCAACCATACACCAAAACCAAAACACTTGCAACGGCGTCTCACATTGCATGTATAAAATTATCTTTAGAGCTACTAAATTGAATATAAATTCTCCCTATAAATGAGATTGTTTAGTAGTCTTACTCTGCCACGCAAAAGTGTACTTCGCGCATGTAGATGCATGCGGAAAAGTGCTACTTTACGCACGTTCGTCGGAAAATATTTTATTTGCGAGAAAAATATTTTTTTTGCGATTATGATTATTGTCTGCAGAAAACGAATCTGACGTTAGATTTGGTCTAGAACAATTCAGATTTTCAGTTGCCAGTGAGCTATTATAATGTAACACCCTGTATCTTGTAATTTAGACCGAAGTTTTCTTTATAGTAGGGGTACACAGTTAATAGAATATTTCAGAGGTTTGTTATTTCTTCGGTATATTCATAATTTTGAATTATTTAGTCATGTTCCAAATTTTAGATTTTTCTTTTTAGGTGAATTTCTACTGAAAGGTGCAAGATATTGTGCTTAATAGTTTGAAGACAAAAACTAGATAGGTACTACATATAATTCTGAACGGTGTAAGCAGATAGTATATGTTTGAAGTTTCTCAGTTGTTTTTTTTTCATATTCCTTCAGTGTATGTAAATATATCGCAATTTTTCGACCCTTCTGAAATATCAGAATCAGGCTTGGTCTTTTGATGTCAATTCACTGAAATTATAGAGATTAATCAGAAATTAGTATTTCTATGATGATTTGTCATGCCATATCATTTTGGACATTGAAATTGGTTTTTCACTCACCTTGAAAACCTGCCTGCAAAGGAAATTTTCTTTGACTGGTAGCAACCTAGGAAATGTTCAAATCTTATATATAAAAATCAACGGCAGGTACGAATAATATACCTAAATGATAATGTCAAAAAGCTTCGGGCATTATATCTAGTAGTATCTATTTGAAATAAACTGATCGAAAAAAGTTGAGAAATGGTCGCAACCTTGACTTTTTTCTAATAGTTTATTTGCGCGAAGCAAAACTTGATTCACATTTTTCTAGATGAAGCGTTTACATTTTCTTTAAAAAATCTATGTACAGAAATGGCTACCTAGTTTAATTCTTGATTGGATTATTGGATAGGTAATCACTAAAACTAAAAATAAAAAATAACTCACTCCATCTAAATACGGGGTGGTGTCAAACGTCAAAGACTCGTTATTTTTTTATTTGCATAGCCTTGTTTTTTCATCGGATGAGTCGTTGATGTTTACACCTTGTTGAATATAGTGAGAAGTTATATTTACTTAGCCATTTCGGATAGTTGTAACCTGCCATCTTTGTTGAAGTCGAATACTTGCAGCTGAAACATGTGAAAATGTTATGACCTACTTTTCGACATGAAATTATTGATGTTAAGAATCAACCTCACAAGTTACTGAAAATTTGTATACATCTTGTATATCTTACCATTGTGTCTGTGTACTCTATCAGTTTATCCTCGGAGACGTCGTTCATCCTTTTGGCCTCTTTGAGCAAATCTCTCAGGAAATTCTGAAACGGAATGCCAGTATATCAAAGCATTTGGGATCATGAAGATTTTAGGTGAAAAAAACATCATTAGGAAATACGCTCAATTCCAAATAAAGTGATGCACTTGATATTTGACCAATCTTCTTAAAAAAAAACAAAAAATAGTAGGCCGATTTTTATTTTTTTTCATTTGTTGGTAGGTGATGCATTTGTCTTTAAAAAAAATAAAGAGGTGAAAATTGTTTCAAAGCCTCCTTGATGGTGGTGGAATAACTCGAACCATGATTTATTCTTAATTTTTGACTCACCCTGTGTGTTAATTGAGTAATGGCATAGAAAGTGCTCACACCCTATACGAAAGAGGCTTCTTTTGCGAGCATTTTGTTTTTTTATTCATTGATTTATCTCTAAAATTTTCCGAATTACAGCTTCTTTGCTGATACCTTACGCTTATCCCACAAATTAAATTTATTGAAGGATCAGAGTACTCAAAATTGATTCGGTTGTACATTGGTAGGATCACATTATCTTTAAAAAAACGAATGCCGTTGCCATAGCAACTAATTTGTTGTATGCCTCCATATTTGACCATTTGTCGTTGTGTCATTAATTAAATGTCTTGTTTTATTGACCAAAATTACATAAAATGCCTCAAATAAATCCTGAACAAGTAGCAAGATTAGTTGCGTTAGTAAACGATGGGCGTAGTAAACGTTACGCCGCTCCTGCAGTGGGAGTTCATGAAGCAACTGCTCGTAGAGCAATCCGCAAGTACGAACAAACAGGAAGCACCGCTCGGAGGGTCGGTTCTGGTCGCCCCCGAAAAACTTCTCCAAGAGATTATCGCTTCTTTTGAGTTTGCGGATTTTTCGGAATCGATCAAATACTGCGGTAAATGTTCAGCAAGATCTTCGCCAAATTCGTGATATTGCAGTAAGTAAGCAGACGGTATGTAGACGTCTAAAAAAAGTTAATTTAAAAGCTAGGAGACCTGCGAAAGGTCCCAAATTATTGCCCGAACATCGTGCTGCTAGAAGAAATTTTGTTGAAAATTATGGACAGTGGAATATTCCTGAATGGTCGAATGTCTTGTTCACGGATGAGTCAAGGTTTTGCCTTAAGATGGTGGATGGAAGAAAGAGAGTGTGGAGAAGAACTGGTGAACGGTTTAATCAAAATTTAATAACAGAATGCGGAAGTTTTAATAGTGGGTCCGTTATGGTGTGGGGAAATAACATTCCCTGTATAAAATTATGCCTCTGTGCCGATTTTGAAAACAATTGACGGATATATAGTGAAATTATTATCAAAAAACGAAAAAAATATCAACCTCAACGCCCTGTATATTTTCCACAGCAATATTTTATTTAGGCGTATTTGGTTTAATCGCCATATGTTGGTTCGAATAATCCGCCATTAGCCTATGTTCCAATAGTTATGAATCACCCTGTATAATCACTATATGAGCACAATTTGAGTATCTTACTTTCAACTCATCAGCTTCGATGTATCCACTACCGTCCGAGTCATATTCTCTCCAAATCTGAAAATATAATAATATTAATAATAATCATTGTTTATTGTTCAAAGGTAATAGATTTTGCATTTTTGGGGTGGTAGAAACATTCCCAGGTCAAAAATATGAAAACAAAATACAGACAGAAGACTTGTTTGCAAATTCTTCTAATCCATCTGTTTTTCACCACATTCAATTATTATCTATACAGGGTTATTGAGTAATCTCAATGGAAGTCTTGAATACACCTACATTGAAATTTGGAGTCAAATCAAATTTTTATTGTTTCCTCCAAAACTAAGCTAGATACAAAAATCGATAAATTTACCCACTGTGACGCTACTGGAAATATTATTTCGAATCTAATTGCACTATAAGAAGCTTCATATTATATTAACAAAACCACAACTTTTTATTGAAATTGATGGAAAGACAATGGAGATATGAATAGAAGATTTTTCATGGCAATATCAATACCCTGTATCTCGAAAACGAAGCAAGTTAGGACACATGTTTATATGAACTTTATTTCCTAAAATATCACCTCTTAAATCGGAGTTATCTAGATACACCCTGTATATTATTATAATTTTTTGCTAAATCATTGTTCCATTCAGAAATAAACGTGAATATTTTTTTAGGGTGAAAAATGTCATCCTTCAATATTTTGAGTAAAAATCTAGGAATAACATAGAAATTCATTCGAGTCTTTATTATTTAAGGTGTGGAATGAAAAATGAAAGCTTTACCTTCATGAATTCTACGCTAGATTCTAATGGATTGTCAAATCTGAACAGCAGAAGGAAATTTTCTTCCATCGGTAGAAGTTGAGCAAGCTGAAAGAGAACAATGGCGTCAACATTCTTCACAAGATGGGTGAGTATACAATGTATAATTATTTTTAGAATTCTGACAGAATGCATTGGGTACCTACGAAAATCATTGAAACCAACATTTTTGTAAATACTGTCTGTATAGGTCGATCGAGAGGTGGGAATTTCATTTCTCCAGATTTTTAGAAATTTTTCATGAATTTCTATAGGTCAATCGAGAGGTGGGATTTACATTTCTCCAGATTTTTTGAAATTTTTCATGAATTAAAATATGATTTTTTTTTATGTATGATGAATTGATATTCGCCATACAGGACGTAGAGAGAAATTCTGAATTGAGAAAACCTGATCACGAATCTGCGATTGAGTTCTATAAAAATAACAAGTTTCAAGTTTGAACCCCTTGTTTAGGTATGTATTGGAAAGGAATATTCTCAGATATAATTATGAACATAAAAAAATGGACATATATATACAGTGTCATCCATAAAGTCGGCATCATATGGGAAAAACTTTTATTATTGACTTATTTTGGAATTCGAGTTGGACGTTAAGTTTTGCTTCAAAATAAATGAAAAATGGCCTACTCAATCGGGATCACGTGACTTTCGCTACATGTCAAAAGTGACATTTTTTTCAAATTAATCGCTGAAAGTAGGCTTATTTGTTCGAATATCGAAAAAGTTTCTATTTCAATTTTACACATGCTCTTCGAATTTGATCTTTCTATTGTAACTTTTAGATTTCGATTTTTTTCTTAATTTTTCGAAATTTCTGTAATATTTGAAGAATTATTAATTCCACGAATCTACTTCATACCAGTAGCTTTTTAATGCTACTTACTTTCAATTACTTATTATCACTGATTATGGACAGAAATATGATTTTCTTCAGAAAATGATAATACCCGCTTCCAAATTCTGTTATGTTTGATGCAAAGTTGATATATCGTCAAGCATTTAGAAAAGAAATTTATTCAAACTGATCTTTTCAGTACCTACTGAAAAAATAAATTTGAATGAATTTCGTTTCTAAATGCTTGACTCAAACATAACATAATTTTGAAGAGAAGATTATCATTTTCTGAAGAAAATCATATTTTTGTCGATAATTAGTGATAATTAGTAATTGAAAATTAGTAACATGATGAAGCGACTGGTATGAAGTAGTTTTATCGAATTTACAATTTTTTAAATATTACAGAAATTTCGAAAATTTTTAAAAAATATCGAAATCTAAAAAATGTAATAGAAAGATGTAATCCGAGTCACATATGTAAAATTCGAATAGAAACAACTTTTTCCAGTAAACTTTTTCGATATTCGAACAAATAAGCCTACTTTCAGCGATTAATTTGAAAAAATGTCACTTTTGACATGTAGCGAAAGTCACGTGACCCCGATTGAGTAGGCAATTTTTCATCTTTTTTGAAGCAAAACTTGACGTCCAACTCGAATTTCAAAATAAATCATTAATAAAAGTTTTTCCCATATGATGCCGACTTTATGAATGACACTGTATATAAAGAAATACATTGAGAATTCGCATTCTCTATGTGATAAAAAAATATCAATTCTTTCTTGGTTTATTCAACAGAAAACAACTACTTGCCTATATGCCACTACGAACATTGAATTCTCTACTTCAGAAGATTTTTATACAGGATGAATCGAAAAATCAAAACCATCAAAATTAGCCACTGAATAACTAACACCCTATATGAGATTTTGCGTTCGATTTTGCGTTCGAATTTCGTATGGGGTTCTTTCAGCTGTGCCTGAATCGAATAGGCTTGTCACAGTTTTGATAAAAAATTGCCTAACAGTCGTTTTTGAAATATTGACCCCTTCAACAAACAAAAGTAGGCCTTGAAAATCTGTCGACGGGTTCCAAATTAGAATGGCGTTGCGGGTTGAAATCGCACACACTGTATTTTTATCTGTATAAATGATGAAAGAGAATCGCAAAAAAAACCTAGATAATTGAAAATTAAACTTCTCAACAAACCTCTCTTATGTCTATTTTGCCGTCTTGGTTATCATCATAGGCTTCCATGAAACACGCTTTTAGTTCGATGAGCATTTCGTCAGATACCACCTGAAAAAATACAACTAGAATATATTTTCGAATACCGATTCAAGTATCGAATCGGTCAATGGTTAACATAAAAGTCTGTTTGTTTTTTTGTTTGTTTTTGCATCTTATGAGTTTTATAGAATGTAGGTAAAAATCATTATACTGACGAAAATTTCATTATCGAAAACAAATAATGAATTTCTGGCAAGTGCTGTCTACCATTAGAATTATTATTGAAACAGGAGAATGAAAATATAACCGGCCGTGATCTGATAATGATACAAAGGCATATAAAAACATTGAATTTTATCGAACCACATGTGCCAATTTTTGAACAAAATGAGTGAAAAATTGGGTTTGATTTCTACGTTGGGTTAGCTCTCTACGTTGGGTTCGCTCTCTTCGTTGGTTAGCTCTCTACGTAGGGTTCGCTCTCTTCGTTGATTAGCTCTCTACGTTGGGTTAGCTCTCTATGTTGGGTCAGCTCATGACGTTGGATTTGATACGTTGGGTTTGATTTCTACGTTGGGTTGATCTCTACGTTCTGTTAGCTCTCTACGATGGGTTAGCTCTTTACGTTGAGGAACACTTCTTGTGGAAGTATCTTTAGAAAAGTGCAAGGTCGCAGACTTTTCTACGGTGTTCTAATGAGGACAAAGAGTGAGTGGGTGTGGCATCACCTACCAGGCGAATTGCTCTTCTCTGGATGGACTCAAAGAGCATCAGCGTATGTTGGTGTGCTGAACCCCATACATGAGAACAGTATTCTGAAACTGTATCTGCGCTTGGGAAGCGGTTGAGAAGTAAAGCAGATTTTTGCACGGAACAAGAATCCGAGTTTTTGTGTGAGCTGTAATGGCTACTTTATTTCTGGTAATCGCGTTAATGGGTATAATAATAATATTATTTGCGGCATCCAACCGAGCCTGGAAAACTGAGGCACTTATAAGGAAAAATGTATGCAAACCGAACTGAAAACAATAGACGACAGTCGAGACGCCTCGAAGCGAGCATTCCAGAGATTGTTATGGAAATGTTCGGGAAATTTCGTGCCCAACTTTCCGTAAACATGCATGACGAATTATTACCGTCGATTTGCATAGGAAAATGCTTTTTCGTACGAAGCCAAAATAGGTAATATGTTTACGTTTGGATACTCCCGAGAATGTTAGATGAATGGCCCAAATGGGGACATCGGGAAATGGTGAATGGGAAGATCAACATCAATAATATAATTCTCTTCATGAAGTTTTCTAATTTTGACATGTAATTTGAAGCTTTTCAAACTTGTCGGAAGTTTTGAAACGTCTAACTTTTCGTATCCAGTTATGTAAAATAAAATATAACATAACTAGTGACATTTCAACACCAGTTACGAAATAAAAATATGGATGGACAAAGTCATGGAAACCATTCATCCTTCTCAAAGTGGTCCAGATTTTTTTCAAAGAAAAAACAACATAACACCAAGCCGAACGACCAGAAAAATTATATTACACTAATTGTATTGTGACTAGTTTAGGCTCAAACAGCCATCTTCAGACACATCAGTACACAGTACTTGTAAAGGTATTTAATTCACAAAGGAACAAGTTGTTGAGGAACAAACATACCTATGAGGCCATGTGGAAATCATATTATAAAAATATAAAATGAAAATAAAATTGAAGAGCCGTGGTCATATTTGGTCAAAATCAGTCCGGTAAAGGAATTTTTGAACCGACTAAACAGCCAAAAGAACCCCAGGTTCAACATTGGCACAAACTTTTGGTTAGTATAGTTTAAAATGAGATGAATTTTTTTACTGAATTAAGCCCATTGTATACAAAAGTATATTAAGTTAAACAATTCAATTGTCATTGGCAAATTCTCATGGTTTTCTTTGTTGCAAATCCATATAGATTTTGTCACGAATTCTATCTGTGACGACTGTCTTCAGAAGCAGAAGATACGTAGAATGACGTGTTTTTCGATTAGATACACGATGGCCAAACCATTTTTTTTATTCTCAAGATTCTCAATGCAAATATATTTTTATGAATCTCATTTTTTTTTTCATCGAAAAATGTATCGTCGTATCGTCTGATACCATTGGCATCAATTCCGGCGTTCCACAAGGATCAATTTTGGCACCAACATTATTCCTTCTTCATATCAATGATCTGTTGGGAGTAACAACTTGCCCCATCCACAGCATTGCAGATGATAGTACCCTCCATACTGCGTTTTCTTCCAGAATTCCCATTTCTTTCCAGGAAACTAAGAACTCACGGCGCAGGCAGGTCAATGATGTCAATGGAGACCTTGCTGAAATCACAGCCTCTGGAACCAACAACCTAGTTGAATTCAACGCCACCAAAACTCAAGCCTGTATTTTCTCTAGAAAGGCGGAACTCAGTATGTCCGATATTGTAATGTCTGGCACCACCATCCCCACCAAGCCCACCATATCTATGCTCGGTATTTCCATCAGCAACACTCTTTCATGGGATATCATGTCAGATCCATCGCAAAAGCTGCTTCACGCAAAAACTCGGATTCTTGTTCTGTGAGGAAAGCTACTTTACACCTCAACAGCTTCTCATGATTTACAAAGCGCAGATACGGCCTGTTCTAGAATACTGTTCCCACATATGGGGTTCAGCACCAAAACATACGCTGATGCTCTTAGATTCCATCCAGAGAAGAGCCATCCGCCTGGTGGGTGACGCCACACTCACTCACTCTTTGACATCATTGGAACACCGTAGAAAGGTCGGCAACCTTTCACTTTTCTATCGATACTTCCACGGGAAATGTTCTTCGGAAATCTCTGCTATCATCCCTTCACTAGCAATACCAGTCAGACGAACTAGACGAGCCCAGTCAGCACATCCTTCCGTTGTCAACCTCGGAAGATGTCGAAGAGCACTTTATCAAAACTCCTTCATCCATAGAACGGCTCTGGAATTCATTGCCTGAGGAAGTATTCCCAACAACATATAATCTCCAGAAGTTCAAAAAAAAATCCGATACCTACCTCCTGACCCTATCCTCCCTAGGAACGCACGATGTTCTTTGAACATTATAGGGATTTCCTTTCGTGCGCTCCAAGTGATAAAAAAAACATTCCTTACCTCTGGTCCGACGTCAGATGTATTGGCACTTGAGACAAATTCACGCAGGAATCCATCTAGCTCCGCCCCTTCAATGTAGCCATTACCTAAAGAAGCAAAAAAACAGAAATCCGACTTAAAACTGGACTTATTCTTATCAAATTCAACCAAGTATGGTAGACGATATGAATATTGAAAACTTGCTCACTCACCATCTTTGTCATAGTGGCTCCATACTTCCATGAATTGGTTCGCTGACAATTTTCTGAGTTCCCTGGATTGCGGGTCTCTATATTGACGCATGAAATTTGCTGCTTTCTCCAAATTTAGGCGTTTGGTGTTGGAGTGGTCAGAAGAGCCAGACATCTTTCTGAAAACAACAAATCTGCACTTCGATAATTTTTGGACAAAGCGATTCTAAGAACGTTCTCAGAATATTCCCGTGGAACATTGGAATATTCTCAGAATGTTCTCACAAGGTGTACTGCACGTTCTGAGAATATTCTAAGAACACATGCGAATGGGACGAAAATTCAGGTTCCAAGAACAATCTCAGTACATTCCATGAATATATTGAACATCCTCAGAATGATTAAGCGCATGAAAAATATTTCTGGGATCGATATACAGGATGTTAGCGAATAAGTGCGACAAACTTCGAGGGATGATTCCTTGTGATAGTTCGGAAAATAAAGTTTATATAAACATATGTGTTTAATATTTCCATGAAAAATCGTTTTTTAATCATAACTCAAATGTCTTTTTACCAATTTCAATGAAACTTAGTGGTTTTGATGAATGTAACATCTAGCTTCTTTTGATGATGATGTGATTGAATCCAAAATAATATTATCAGTGGCGTCACAGTGGGTTAATTTATATCGATATTTACGGTTAATATCATTGTACGCCACTGGTTCTTCTGACTTTCATATTTATATTAGATTGAACAATTGAAATATCAACTGTCTTATTCTCTGTATTTTTTAAATATTGCTTAGTATTTGAGTAAACAATAAAAATTTGATTTGACTCCAAATTGTTATGTAGGTGTTCTCGAAACATTCATTGATATTACTCAATAACCTCAATAAGAATCATTTTGAAATTTTGGGACTTTTTCAGTCTCCAACCATACTGAATTTTGGCACAATGAGAGCTCCTACAGGGGCGTTATAAGTAAAAACAATTGATACTTCCAACTTCAACATCCTGTATATAAAAAACGAAGCAAGTTAGGACACATGTTTATATGAACTTCATTTTCTAAAATATCACAAGTGGAGTTTGTCACTAACACCCTGTATTGGAGGAAGATATGTTCATATCTGTGTGTTCCAAAAGTGATATTTATTTCACTCACTTTGAAAAAACATCACCCAAAAACTGTTACAGTTCAAACATAATACAAAAACCATAAACGGATCATGGATGCTTTACGAATATCACGATGTTTGATGTGTGAAAGCATAATTAATTAGTTTCAGTGCCTCTAATGTATAGGGAGAAAGTAATTGGAGAAAATAGCGGTGAATTTGAATTCACATTAAACTCCATTGCTACCGCACATGAGAATGACAAGTTTTATCAAAATCAGCGAAAATGATTTAGGTTGAAAAGAAATATTCTCAGATATAATTATGAACATAAAAAAAATGGATATCGTAAAGAAATACATTGAGAGTTCGCATTCTCTGTGTGATGTATCAAATCTTTCTCGGTCTATTCAACAGACAATAACTACTTTCCTGGCTATATACCACGACGAACATTGAATTACATCTATTGAACATACACGATAAGGATTTTGAAAACAAAATCTTCTGAAGTAGAGAATTTGCATTCTTCTTCAAATAAAGATATGCACATAATATCATTCTGAATATTCAACATATCTGTTGTACATACAGAGAGTATGAAAAGTGAAAATCCTCTGAAATTGAGAATTGACTTCATCTCTCAAATCGGATAAAATAATATGACGTATTATATTCGTCGTGGCATATAGCCAGGAAAGTAGTTGTTTTCTGTTGAATAGACCGAGAAAGAATTGATATTTTCATCACAAAGAGAATGCGAATTCTCGATGTATTTCTTTATCTATAACTTGCAATTTTTGCAAATTTCAGAAATTCTTGCAATTTTTGCAATTTTCAGGAATTTTTAAAAATTTTGCATATATTAGGAATTTTTGCAATTCTTGCAATTTCTGCAAATTTCAGGAATTTTTGAAATTTTTGCAATTTTTAGGAATTTTTGCAATTTTCACAAATTTCAGGAATTTTTGCGATTTTTGCAATTTTGAGGCATTTTGCGATTTTTGCAATTTTCAGGAATTTAGGAATTTTTACAACTCCGGAATTTTTGCAATTTTTGCATTTTTCAGGAATTTTTTCAATTTTCAGGTTTTTCTGAAATTTTTATATTTTTCAGGAATTTTTGCGATTTCTGAAAATTCTGCAATTTTTGCAATTTTCAGAAATTTGGGAATTTTTACAATTTTCCGGAAGTTTTGCAATTTTTGCATTTTTCAGGAATTTTTCCAATTTTCAGGAATTTTTGAAATTTTTATAATTTTCAGGAATTTTTCCAATTTTCAGGAATTTTTGTATTTTCTGCAATTTTTGCAATTTTCAGGAATTTTTGCAATTTTCAGGAATTTTTGCAATTTTCAGAAATTTTTGCAATTTTCAGGAATTTTTGCAATTTTTGCAATTTTTGCAATTTTCAGGAATTTTAGCAATTTTTGCAATTTTCAGGAATTTTTGCAATTTTTGCAAATTGCAGGAATTTTTGCAATTTTTGCAATTTTCAGGAATTTTTGCAATTTTTGCAATTTTTAGAAATTTTCGCAATTTTTGCATTTTTTAGTAATTTTTGCAATTTTTGCAATTTTCAGTTATTTTTGCAATTTTTGCAATTTTCAGGCATTTTTGCGATTTTTGCAATTTTCAGGAATTTTTGCAATTTTTGCAATTTTTGCAATTTTCAGGCATTTTTGCAATTTTTGCAATTTTCAGGAATTTTTGCGATTTTTGCAATTTTCAGGAATTTTCGCGATTTTTGCAATTTTCAG